CTTTCTCCTTTGTTCACTGCTGCAGACAGATATTCCCTAGCTGTTACACACTACAACTTCTTACCTGTCTTCTCTGGGACCATCCAGTCTCACTCCTTCCTTCCTTTCTTGCTTCCAGAGAACTACCTGGTTTCTGCAAGGATGTGGCAAGACATCCCAGCCTGCAGCTCTCACTCATTTAGTTATCCTGCCAAGTCTGTTCTTTTTAATGATTATTTTTAGGAGCTTTCTGGGGAAGTGATAGTTTTCCTAGTGAGCCAAAAATAAAGTTTTTGGTAACAGGAGATAGGGACAGGCTGTTCCGTTGTAGTAAATCCTGTGACATGTTGCATGTGTGTTTCCATTATATGTAAATAAAGATATGATAGATATCCTTTGTGCAACTCTTCTGCTTCTTTGACTGCACCTAAGGATGTGGCAGGAGCCAGAAAGGCCTATAAGGGAGCTGGCCAGCAGGTAGCTCTGATGACTTCAGGTAATCAATCACACAGAGCGATTGTGCCACTTGGCAGAAAAATTTCTTTACCCAAATTGGGGATGCCAGCTTCTCTGTATCCTCATTGAAATTGGAGCTAACAATCAGCTTCTGCCTGGTGTGGCCATCCAGATGTTTAAAACTTTATATTACTACTTAGTTACTGATTTCAGTGATATATTGTGGCAATATAGGCTACGTGTGTTAAACAGGAGCAGTGTTAGTTGATAAAGATGTGCTAACACCGTAGTACCCTGGCTTCTGGTGGGAGACAGCTCTGAAGCGCTTTATATTCAAGAACCTGGAGATGTACAGCACTTCTTGTAGGAATAGAAATATTAATCCCGATGCTGTGGTCAGAATCCTCTTCATGCTGCTTCCCTAAACCCCTCTGTGTTCCATTTAGGTAGGCAGATCTCCATTTTGCACTCCTGTTTCTGTTGTAGTGTCACCCTGCATTCTGTGTTCACACAAATGCTGCTAGCATAATAGTTTATGCCTCTAATATGATGAGTGCCCAGTCACGACTACAGAGATACGCTGTGAATACAAGATTAGTTCTGACCCACATCCACCTGCACTGCTAGGAGGTACACTAAAGGAGAAATTCCTGAAGGGGCATTTAGGCAAAACCTACCACTCATTTGGATGTAGCTATTTAGATTGCTGCTTACCGCATCACAGTCTTAGCCCAAAAGGCAGGAGTAAAGAAAGGTGGTTTGGCTCCAGCACTGTGCCACAGCAGCGAGGATGCAATTTGTTAACCCAGAGAGAGAGAGAAATGCAGCCTCTCCCTCAGCCCAGATGCAGAATAGTGGGTGGTGCTGCCAGTGCTATTGTGAGTGGAAGCATAAAGGGAAAAAGGCCTTAATTGATCACAGTCAATTGCAGAGCTCTCAAACCCTGGTCTGTGTGACACCGATAAGAACCACATGCACGGCCATTATCAAAGCCAGGTTTTGATATCACACTGCTTTCCAGCGTAAGAGCCCAGATCTGTTTGGAACAGTGTAATTGAAAAAAAAGCAGGAAATTTTGCAGGGGTCTTTATACTTGATGATGCAGGTATTCATTGCCTCATACAGAATCCTTGCAGGATCCTGGTGGTGTTTTGGGCAAGACTATATTGCAAATTGTATGAAATACAAGCAGGCTTAAACAGCAAGTCTGAATTTTCGTCCAGAGCTTTTAGACTCCAAAAGGAGCCTTGCTTCTTCAGCTCTTGCTTTTTCAGCTTTTATTCTGCTATTAATTTTGAATATAAAGAAAATATGATTCTTAATTGGTGGGATGTGAAACTCAGTGAAAACTGAGTTAATTATTATAAACCAAGTCACAAGATTATTGAACTGATTGCTCTCATTGGAGTTTCAGAAAGAGAACCCATGACCGAGACTCATTCTTTCTGAATCAAACTGTGATGTTATAGAGGTGAAGCAGGAAGGATGAGCAGTGGCATGTGCTGCAGAGCCACAGCAGTGTGAAAAGAATCAGACAACCTGATTTATGTCAGCCAGATCAACTACTGACTACGCAATTGCAGTGCAAAGGAAAGCTGTTGAGTAAATAACATGCCAAGGTGTGTAATGCAATACTATCCTGTGATATAAAACCCCAGGGCAACATCTGGACAACAAATCCAACTCACTTCTGAGTGGAGCAAAGCTTTTTAGTGCTGCTCTGTGCTGTCTCAAGAGCATGACATCAGCTGTAGTGTGATAGTATCACTGGATTACATTTAGCAACTTTCCCCTTCCTTCTCAGTATCTCCCAGTTGCAGTGCAGTCAGTGACAGTTCTGCCTTCAGAGGTCTGAACAAGACAGAGGAAGACAAATGCCAAGCAAGTTTTGATGTATATGTTTTTCTCAACTGATTGTTTGAGAAACTCAAATTAAGAATTCACACAAGCTCAGCTTCTCTACTGTCCCCAGAGAGCTTAAGCCAGAGCTCTTGCAAGATTTTCTATTGTCTTGAAAGGACTTTGGATCAGGCCCAAACCATCCATAGCAGGGCTGTGTGGAATCATTTTTAAAGTTAATTGCAGAGCATGCATGCAAGAAAGGTGAATGACAGAGTCCCACCCAAACTCCTGCTCTACAGCTACTGCTGTTAGCAGCCTCACAATGAGTCCAAGGGGGTATGCATCATTTTAAACCACATCTCCAAGGGTGAGAATCATTAGACATGGAAAAGAGAGGACAGCGTGCTGATTTGACATAATCATCTCAGCAGCTGCCTGCTCTGCAATTGCAGTTGAATCTCAGGGATGTAGCTGGCAGTTGCCAAAATTATGACTGCAAGGGAGACAAGGAGTGGAAGCACAAATTAAAACACTTGGGAATCATTCTGTCTCAGGTCTGTAATAGTCTGCAGTTGTTTTAGCTTGCGAATCTTTCATTGAAAACCTTTCCCCTCCCTCCCAGTAATTACCCTGTTGTCAATCCACAGTGTGTGAATGTGCTTCAATTTCAAGCCCATGCTATACTAAATTGTTCGAGTCTGTGCCAGTCACTTTTTGCTATATAAAGCCTAGAAAAAGCATTGCTTTCACATTTTTTTATCAGAAAAAATGAGGGCTGTTGTTTTCTTGAAATGTTCTGAGTGATCATATGTAGCCCATAAACCCATTTCTGGTATGTCACTTCATTTTCTACAGTGCCAGTGAATCTTCAAGAGTCCCTCAATTATATCTCAAAGCTCTAGTTAGATTTTAGAAAACAAGAGGAGCACCTTTTCCTTGCTGAGATTGGAAAGGACTTCCAAGCATGCTTGTCAAGATACCACATTAATGTAACCCTCTCCACTCCCCAAATCATCTTGCCATAGACTGTGTCACAGTGAAGTTGCAGGAGGAGGCTCCCCTTCAGCATGACGAAATGCTCTCAGTTTCCCCTCCAGTCCAGATAATGTTTCTGCTTGCTGATTTCCCATTGGGATTTAAAAGGGAGTTTGTAGAACCAGGACAAACTCTACATGTCCTTCCTCACCGCTTATCCAGAAAGGCTCTATTGATAATATGTGCATCTGTGCCGACCTGATGCCTTCGTTGCTCTCAGCTCCACAGCCAGAGGCAAAACTCAAAGATATCAGTCTCAGCTGCAGTCTTTTGTTACCTTCAGACTAGACCCCAAGTGAGGGATGGGAAGGGCAGAACTTTGAGGGGTGAGCTTGTCTCCATCCCCACGGGCCAGACAAGGACAGCAGGAGCAATTGTATTAGCCCCTCTACTTCCCCACGGAACTGCTATCACCTCCACCCACCCACCAAGGGTACGGTGTCCTGAAAATGCAAAGGAAAGTATTTCTGCCTCATTAGCCACACTTTTGTGCTTTCAGGAAGGGAGCCAGCTGTGTATTAGGTTTTTACTCAGTCTGCACGAGACCTGCCACCAATATATTTGACATAAAGCAGCTAATTGCTGAATATTAGTCGCAGTGAGCTGAACTCACCTGGACCAGTCTTCTAGTCAGGAAAATCTCTGTATCCTGTTTCTAGTCTCCTGGGTTGCCTGCTTCTCCCTGCAGATCTTCTTTAACTTGCTGCTTATCTTTCTCACCGTGTTTATGTTGCTTTGAGTTATCAAGCCTAGGGAAGGGAACAGAGGCAGCAGGTTACACAGAGAGGCAATTTACAAGGTACAAGCAAAGCAGAGATAAAAACCAACCAACCCCCTGGATCAGATAGGTGTGAGAGACGTGCAAATGCATAATGTCTGTCATAGCTCTTACTGTTTTCATATCCACGAGATCATTAAGACATTTCTAAGTCCCTTGAGACCATGACATGCAAGCCCAGGATATAATAAGCAGAGCTGAATTAATTGTACGATACATTGATGAACAAAATGAAGTCAAATGCTTTTATTGTACAAGGGGAAATGAATGCTTTGCATTAAACAATAGTCACATCAATCCAAATTATGGCTCATGCTGCATAAATGATAATGAGGCTCTGTCTCAGACTGAGTGAGAATGCTGAAAGGAGCAAAGACGCCCACATACTGCTGCATCTAAACAGTGCTTAAACTGGGACAGTGGAATTTGTCTTTATAACAAACAGTTCTCCTTTGATAGACACCTATCCTGGTGGAAGGACATCCCTATATTGCACTTTGCACTCAAACACTGAGCCAGGAATATGACTATTCAAAATCTCTCTTTATCTTTCCCCCCCACCCCAGGTGTCACATCTTTTTGTAATTTAGGGTAAATTCCAGTCCTTGACATTACTGGGACCACTACCATTGACCCATTTGATGCCACTGTTCCTGTGAATAGAGGCAGGGCTTGCCTGCAAGACACAGAAATGGCAATGAAGTCACAGCTGATGTGGCATGTGGCAATAGATGAGTTATATTTCAGTCTTTTGTCTGGT